CAATTGAGATAAGCCAAAAATTTCGGCTCCAACGCCGACCATGCTTTCTTGTCCGTCGCAATGTGTATCCACCTTTTGTGGTCGTCGTCTCCCTCGTGTGTAACGACCGTGCGTACGAATTGTGTGACTTCGGCATCCCATCTTTTCCGTTGTCCTTCGTGGCATCGTAGGGTTCGGCGCGGGTCGTGGGTGTTCGGGGTCCATTGTAGTGAGAGCCGCGTCCATCTGTCGTAGTCGTGGGTTGCGACGCGCGATGCCCGCCGCCACTTCCGTGTGAAGTATCCCGTAGGCCATTCCTCTACGCCTGCGCGCCGAGCATGCTCTAGGGCTGCGTGCGTCGATCGTCGTTTCCCATGGTTCCAACCCGTCGTCTTCTTCCCTGTCGTCGGCTCTGTCGTGGTGGATGGGGGAGTCTGCTGCGTCGGCGCTGGTCGCTTCGTTGGTGTCAGTGTCGCGAATGTGGTTTTGTATATTGCGACGCCTTGGCATCCCGATGACAAGCCTGAGCATCCTCCGCTGTGCACGCCGTAAGGTGAGAAGCATGTCGCTGGTGAGGGTCCAAGAGGAGCACCCGTACATCACTGACGCTGTGATTGTTCCGTTGAACAGCCTCAGTCGACTGTGGAGTGGGAAGCGCTTGTGTGTTAGCTTGTATCTTAATCGGTTGAAGCGACCCCATCCTGCGGCAATCCTATTGCGTAGCTCTGTCTCGTGGAAGTCGTGGAAAGTAAGCTTCCTTCCAAAATACTTCGTTCTCTGGACGGAACGCAAAATTTCGATGCGTTCGCCGTTGATGTCGACATGATAAATTGTTCTCCCCTCTCTCCGGCTGACGTTCGTCAGGATCTTGGTCTTGTCCGGGTGCAGTGCCAAACCGCATGTCTTGGCTTGTGACTGTACATCCCGGAGCAAGCAGGAAAGCTGTCGTAAGCTGTGGAGGAGGAAGAGGAGGAGGAGGAGGAGGAGGAGGAGGAGGAGGAGGAGGAGGAGGAGGAGGAGGGGTCGGAAGATCGTGCCGCATCGCCGATATGCATCGCCGGTGTGCATCGCTGGTAGGCATCGGCGGCATGCATCGGCGATGAACTGGCGACGTCGGCGATACGTCGACGCCGTCGGTGCAGAGGAAACCGAGCTCCACATCGAACCGCATTTCGGCGAGGCATCGACGATGCGCCGCGATGCTCCGATCCCATCACTCCGAGCCCAGGCAGGAGAGGCCTGGAGGCTTGGGGGCGCTCCCCCTGACCCTCCACCCAGACCCACACAATCGCGTCGTCAAGCAGAACTCACGACAAGAGCCCGTTGGCCGTCTTCGCACTGCGCGGGCCCTCGCTGGGCCCCTGGACCGTCCAACTCGCCATCGCTCGGACGCCCCTTCCCTGTATTTTTGTTCGGTTTCGTGCGTTGTTTTTTCGCCAAATGATCAAGGATGCTCCTCGATTGCCCTCGCCGAAGGAAAAATGCACGCGTCCGAGCGATGCCAAGCCAACGACGAGTCGGGGCGAGCAGCCGGCCCTGGGGAACGGGTCGGGCCTTCCGGGGGGGCCCCGGGGCGCTGGGCGGGTCTGCCACAAGTGTTGCCGTGCGCGCCCGCCCCCGCTCGCGGGGCGACCCGTGGGCGCAGCATGGCCTGCGCGACGTACCCTGCACGGCGTGGCTCGTGCCGCACAACGTGCGCAACAGAGCTCGTACCGCATGGCCTGAAACGCACAGCTTGCACCGCACAGCTTGCACCACATGGCTTACGCCACAGTGCAAGCGCCCTCCGCTTGGAGTCCCAGCCTGGCGCATGTGGATTCTTGGGCGCCTTCGGAGCCAAGAGTGACCATTTCGGAAGCGGTGAACACATGCCCTGGTGCTTCCAGGGCCCCCCTTCCCACACCTAGACTACATGCTTACCCACGCACCTCCTCCTGGCAACTCCCCCGGGCATCGGTCCTGGATGGGCGAATGGACACACGCGAAGCGCCAGGGATCTGCACACGCGCAGCCTCCTGCCGTGTGTCCGCAGCCACTGGCGGCGGACCGGCCTCGCCGTCGGCGGCGCTCTCCGCCGCCGCCCCGGAGGAAAACGCAGCATGGAGTCGGGTGTTGCTAGAAGTATCCCTGGCCCAAGGTACCCACAGGATTCTCGGGGTGGCCCAGACGGCCTCCAGGGCACCCTCCACAAGGCCCAGGGGGCCCCAGGGGCTCCAAAACCGAGCGAAAAGCTGGGGGCACCTTGGGCCAGGGGCACTTCTAGCAGCATCCGATAGAGGACGCGGGCAGGCCTGAGCTGGGTCGGGCCACTAGGCTGGATCGGGCCCGAGGCGGGTCGCACCGCACCCGGCTCGCGGAATCGGCGCGGGATCGGACACCGCTCGGGGGTTCGCGGGGACCCGGCGCGGCCCCTGCAGGCCATGGAGAGGGACTCGGCTCGTGCCGGAGCGTCGGTCGGAGCGAGGTCGGACTCCGAGCTTGGGGATCGGATCGGTCCCGGATCGGGCCGTGAGGAACGGTGGCGGGCCCTCAGGAAATCTGGTCCTGGACTTGTTTCGCCGTCCTCAAGCCCCCGGGGCCCTGCACAGGGCCCAGAGGAAGCGTCAGAGAGCGACTCGGGGCGGGAAGGTTGATCCCTGGGGAGAGCTCGGCCAGGGTCTGGGGCGCGTTTCCATCAGGAGCCCGGGCCTTCGTGGGGACAACTTCTTTGTGCCTCCTCAATAAGCACTCAAAGCTTGCCCAACCACACGCGCTGGCACCAGGCAAACCCAGCACGATCTGACAGGCCTCCCTCAGCCCAGGTCAGCAGCAGGCGGGGAGGCGGGGTCGGCCCCGCGTGGTTCCCGGAGTCCAGGCGGGCCAGCCCGTTTACGTGCACCAGGGCTGAACCTAAGCGCTGTTTTCCGCTTTCGTGTTGTCTTCGTTGTCCCTCGTTTTGTCTTCACTCCACCTCTACCGCAAAACGAAGTCGACACGAAAACGGCCCACGACATCGCTCGCCAAAACACCGTCTAGGGCCAGCCCGTTTGCGTGCACCCCGGAGCCGCGCACCAGAGGCAACGGCAGAGAAGGCCACTCGGCTTCCGGGCCAGAGCTCGAGCCCCTGGCGGCCCCTCGGGACGGCCCGGGCACCTCCGGAAAGCCCCCGGCGAGGCGCGGCCGCTGGAACCTGGGTCACCCCACTGCGCGCACCACGCCCCGCGGCGCGCGGGCCTCTTCGCGCCCTCGCGCCCTCGCCCCCCCCCCCCCCCCCCCCCCCCCCGCGAGAAGAGCACACGTCGCTCCCTTCTCAGCGTGATCATCTCCGGTTGTGCTCACTTCGGATTGCTCCTGGCCCCCTGGTGGCCAGGAAGAGGCCCAGGATAGAGCAATCAGAAGCGGAAGGATCTAGGCCCCCAAAAAAATCGGAGAACTCTCGAATCATTAGAAGTGAACCTTGTGTAGCCGCTCGGGCCCAGGCCCCCGGTGCTCGAAGCGCGAGGTATCTTCGCGCCCCCCCGCGGGCGGCCTGTAGGGGAAAAGGCATCCCGATTCCCAGGGCGTCTGGAAAGCTTGGTGCCCGTCCCTTTGGAGCCTGCGCGGCCCTGGGCGCTGCTCGATTCGGGACTGGTTTGGACACGATTTGTCCTCCTCCCCCTCCTCCATTTCCTCCTCTTCCTCCCCCCCCTCCTCCTCCTCCTCCTCCTCCATTTTCTCCTCTTCCTCGCCATCCTCCTCCTCCTCCTAACACATTTCACTGGCTTGGTTCGGGACTGGGACCCCGAATTCGGGGAAAGTCCTCGACTCCCGAATTCGGGGAGAGTCCTCGACTCCCGAGACCGAGTCCCGAGTCGACGACCTCGACGGTCCGCGAAACAGACGGACCAGTCCCGCATCGAGCAGCGGCCAGAGTTCGGGACGTGGGACCAAATTTGGACCGGATTTGGACCGGAGCCCCCTCTTCATGACGGGAGACGAGAAGAACGAGGAGGGGGAAAGAAGCGACAGAAAGGGCGAGGTGGAGCAGGACGAAAAGGCCAAATGCGGTCCAAATACTGCCTAAGTAAAGAAAATGCAGATTGCAATGTCGCCGCCCAGGGCTCCCATGAACAGACACGCACGGAGACTCCAAACGCCGACGCAAAGGGCCCTCTCCAGGCACTGAAACTGTCAAACAACGACTCGGGATGACAACCCGGCCCTGGGGAAGGCGTCGGGACTTCCGGGCGCCCCGCATGGAAAATATCAACATGTCTGCGAACCAAGCTCGGCCAACATGTAAGGCCACCTCCGGGGCCGCGAGCAGCTCCTCAGCCCGGCTTGGCCCCCCAAATCTGGCTTTGCAGGGCACTGCAGAGTCCGGCGCTCTGGCTGCGCCCCGTTTGCGCTCAACCCCGTCTGAGCATCCTTTATCCGATCCCTATCCCCAGCGGTGTGGCCTGGGCCCCGCTGGCCGACTTACCCTCCCAAGATGGGGATACAGGCCGTTCCCTTCGGGTGTCGAGGGGTGTACCCGCAACTGGGGGGGTAATTTGGTGGGGGTCTCGAAGGGGATGGGGATGGGGATGGGGGTCGGTTAAACGATACTGGCCGCCACCACAGAGGTAACCAACTGCGTAGGCATACCTTCGGAGGCCCGCGCGGACTTCTTGGATCCGCGCCGACCACCCTGCCTGGCGGAGCGCGCCAAGGGGCGCCGGCTGGAGGCGCCGCCATGGGCGCCGAGCGCCGATCCACGAAATCCGCGCGGACCTGCGAGAGTTTATTAGAGGCCTCCTAGATGGGATCGAAGCAGATAGGGTCGGAGGATCGCGCCGCATCGCCGATGCATCGGCGATGCATCGGTGATGCATCGGCGATGCAGCGGCGATGCGCCAGCGATGCATCGTCGACGTCAGCGGTGCATCGGCGACGTCCGCGTGAAGAACATCGGGCTCCGTATCGAGCGCATCGGCGATGCATCGGCGATGCGGCGCGATCCTCCGACCCCATCTACTCAGACCCCATCTAGGAGGCATAGATTTATGCATAGGCAATGTTTCATTCCTCCATGCGATTGGCTCAGGATGCGTTCCAGGAGTTGTGGCGTTTCTAGCAGTCTTCTTCTCTGCAGACCGTGTGGAACATGAGGAGATCTGGGACATCCTAGAAATACAAGGAGATATTGCAATGTATGATTACATCCTGGTTCCGGAAGTTAGTCTTTCTCGAATACACAAGACATGTCTGGCCAACGCGGTGAGAAGTCGCCCAGAATAACTTGTGGTATGAGCGCCACCACGAAGCACCAAACTCGCAGCTCGCAGCTTGCGCGTGCCAATCACAGACGATTTAATCGCCTGCCCCTATCTTGCGCGTGTAGATCAGCATGCTAGAGCTCCTCTCACCCACCACCTGAATCAGGTCCTTCTCCTCCAGGTGACGGATGGCCTGGCGCGCCACAGAGCCATTCACCTTCAACCTCTCGCTCACGATAGCCGTAGTGATCAGCTTCGCCTTGGGGATCTCCTTCAGCATCTTGTCGTACGTAGCCTGGTCGAACATGACCAGATTGGCCAGCTTCTCCTTCACCTTGCCTTTGCTCCACTTCTTCTTCTTGGATTTGCCTCCAGCCATGGCGGCCTTCATCTTGGCCTCCTTGGACTTCTGCACGACCTTGTTGGCTCCCATGGCCGGCTCTCCTGACGACGGCGCCCGCCGCGGAGGCGCTTCTACTGGGACTGGGCGCGGGCAACACCGACCTGGGCAGGAATGGCTTGAGCCGAAACGGATTGAGCCAAAATGGTTACGGAAGGAAGGCTTTGTGCTTGCAACGTGGTGCAAGGGATAAGGTTTTTCCCACCATAGTGCTTGCACCTAGTGGGTCTTACTTTTCTAACGAACTGGGCCTGTCTGCAAGTCTGGCGGCTGTGTGGCCGCAGTCGCGGCCCAGTCGACGCTTCGTCGCCGCCCGTCGTCTGGGCCTGCCTGCCGGTCTGGGCCGCCCGTCGTCTGGGCCTGTCAGCCGGTCTGGCGGCTATGTTGCCGCCGTCGCCACCCCGTCGCCACCTCGTGGCCGCCCGTCGCCAGGGCCTGTCTGCCGGTCTGGCGGCTGTGGTACCACCGTCGCCGCCCCGTCGCCGACTTGACTGGACGACACAAAACCGATTGCACCACGTAGCAGATTCCACCGCACAGATTGCACCACACAGATTGCACCACATATACTGCAGCACATACATCGCACCACGTAGATTGCAACACATGGCTTGCATAACAGAGGTGGCACCACACAAATTTTACCACGTCGACTGCACCATAGATGACGCACCGCACACATTGTACTACATAGGTTGCACCACGTAGATTGCACAACATCGATTGCACAACGCCGATTGCACCACAACGCTTGCACCACATAGATAACATCACACATCTTACACCACGCTGATTCTCCTTTCTAAAAAAGAATAGACTCTCCCCCCCACCCCCGGACTTATCGCTTCCCCCTGGCATAATATGCTTTCATATATATATATATATATATATATATATTCTGCACACTCGTCCATCCTAAATCTGAAATCGTACCATCCCAGCCAGGCCGGGTTCCCCCCTGAGGTTCCCTATGCGGTGACATTTGTTGTTCTAACAGAACACTTTTTTTTCACGAATCCCTTGCGAAAAATGGGACGAAGTGCACACGCGCGCGTCGTCGCGCGCGCATGCCGAAATCCTTCAAAAACCTTCGGTGCCAGAAGGATTTCGCAATCGAGTTTCCCAAAAACAAACAAAACCATATGGTTTCGCAACACTGAGTTGCTAAAAAAGCTTCCGCACGAGCTCTTGCGAAATCTGAAGAAAACCACAGGTTTTTCAAGATTTTCACAAAATGCTACCAAACGGGCTTCGCGCGCGCATGTCGAAATGTGTCGAACGCCCTTGCGCGTGTGCCGTCGCGAGAATCCTTTGCAAAAAATGAGACGAAGTGCAGACGCGCACGTCGTCGCGGGCGTATGCCGAAAACCTTCAAAACCCATCGTTTTCGGAAGGATTTCAAAATCGTGCGTCCAAACAACCTGCAAAAACCCAAGGTTTCGCAACACGGGTTTTCAACAAAAGCGTGCGCGCGCGCTCTTGCGTCGTCGTCGTCGTCGCCGTCCTCCCTCCTCCCGCGTCGTCGTCGTCGTCGCCTACGTCGTCCTCTGTCTTTTCTCGTGTTCGTCGTCGTCGTCGTCTTTGGCGTCGTGGTCGTTTCCGTCGTCGTTGTCGCCGTGGTCGTGCTTCCTCCTCCTCCCACGTCGTCGTCGTCCGTCGTCGGCGTCTCGTCGTCGTCCCTCCTATTTCGTCGCCGTCGTCGTCGTCGTTGTCGTCGTCGTCTTCCCTCCTCCCTCGTCGTTGTCGTCGTCGGCGTCGCCGTCCTTCCTCCTTCGTCGTCGTTCGCGTCGCCGCCGTCCTCCCTCCTCCCCCGTCGTTGTCGTTGTCGTCCATGTCGCCGTCGTCGTCCTTCCTCCTCCCTCGTCGTCGCCTTCGTTGGCGTCGTCGTCGTCGTCTTCGTCGTCGTCGGCGTCGGCGTCGGTGTCGTCGTCGAAGTCGTCGGAGACGTCGTCGGTGTTGTCCTAGTCGTTGTCGTCGGTGTCGTCGCAGTCAGTCTTAAGAGGTTTTGCAAACCAAGTTGCGGGTGGGTGGGTGGGATGTTTGCGCGAGCAGTGGAGATGACGACTTCAAGTTCAGCAGAGTGGATTGCACCACATAGGTTGCGCACCACATAGATAGCACCACATACACTGAACCACATCAATTGCACAACGCATAATTTCCTTTCCAAAGCAATATCAGGATCTCCCCCCGGATTTAACCGCCCCCATGTCATATTGCAACATACCAGTGATTCTGCCCATCGCCCATCCTAAAATATGAATCCGTGCAATCCTAAGCAGGCCAATGAAACTTCCCCCCTTATCCTGTGCACAAAAACGATGCGCGCGCACTCGCTCGTCACAAATCGTAAATTTCCAATAATCCGGTGCAGCCGTAAATGCGACAAAATGCCCACGCGCGCGTCGTCGCGCGCGCATGTCTGAATCCTTCAACAACTTTTTGGAGTGTCGTAAGGGTTTCAAAATCAACTGTCCCGAACACATGTAAAAACGCATGGTGTCGCAACAATGGTTTTCAACACCAAAAAACGTGCGTTTGGCTTTTTGCAAGGTTTTTAAGAAACCGCCGGTTCTTCAAAATTTTCATGAATTGCAACCAAACAAGCCTCTCGCGCGCGCGTCGGGATCGTTCGAACACACATACGCACGTGCTGTCGCAAGAATCCGTCGCAACACAAACAATGTGCATGCACGCCGTCGTCACGCGCGCATGCCGCAATCTTTCAAACACCTGAATTGTTGTAAGGATGTCAGAATCGAGTGTCCTAAAACATACAGAAACACATGGCTTTGCAACATCCGTCTTCACAAATACCTGCGCTCGCGCTCTTGCAAATTCTCAAGAAAACCATCGGTTGTTCAACATGTGCAATACACTATGTCAACAGAACCCTTCGCGCAGCAAATCGGCATCATTCGAATACCCTTGCGCGCGTGCTGGGGAGGGGCACGATCCGTGCCAAACAATACCATGCCCGCCGCTCTCGCGTTTCGGTCGCGCGCGCATGTCGAACTCCCTCCAAAATCTTCATCGCCGACGCGAGGACGCCGTCATCGTCGTCGGCGTGATCAGCATCGGCGCCGTCACTGGCGTTACCGTCGTCGTTGTCAGCATCGTCACCAGCATCACCACCATCATCATCATCATCATCATCATCATCATCATCATCATCGCGCTGACCGTTGTCGGCGTTGCCATCATACCGCGCCCGCACAAATCGCCGACTCGCACTGGAATGCCCGCTGGGAAATGCCCCACTATCTGGCCGTTGCGCGCGCGAGCATGCGCGGGCTCGCGCGGCCGCAGAGATGCACCAGCCAACTCCAAGCACTCATCGCAATCGCCGCCTTTGCAAACCAAATTACGGGCGGGTGGGTGGGATGATTGCGCGAGCAGTGGAATGGACGACTCACCGCGAACATGAACTACTAGAATTCTCATTTCTAAAAAAACCATTCGGGTCAATCCCCGCACCTCTGGGGTTTTCGGGCCACCTTTTCGAATTGAAAATTATAGATCATTCTACCCCATCGTCCATCCCACCCATGAACTCATACCATCCCGGTCAGGCCGGTTTCGGTTCCCCCCCCTCATCCTCTGCAAAAAAACTATGCGCGTGCACTCGTCGATCACAAATCAACTATGTTCGAGAATCCGTTACAACACACGGGGCGACGTGCACACGCGCGCGTCGTCACGCGCGCATGCCGAAATCTTTCAATCCTTTTGCTTCGAGGCGTCCCCACCGACACCTTCAGCGTTTGTTCCCGACGGCGCGCGGTCGCCTTATGTGGTGGAACGCTGCGCGCGCGGGCCCTGTGGTCTCGGCCAGAGCGGCGGTCGGGCCGGGTGGCGAATTCCGTTGTCGCCAACTCCAACAACCCCAGAGCTCCTGACGGAAGGAAGTGAAAGAAACCCTGGTGCAAAGAAACAAGCGTCGAAACCGTGCGGTGCAAAACGGGTAGAGAGCAGCATCGTGTTGAGAGAGGGAGAGGAAAGAATCCGCAGGAGGAGCAGGAAGAGGAGGCGGACGACGAAGGAGGAGGATGAGGAGGGAGGTGAGGCGGACCTCTCCTCCCTACTTTCCCTCCTCCTCCTTCTCCTCCTTCAACCACTGCAGGACTGCCGCTTCTGGATTCGAAAACGTTTCAACCGTATCCCATTAGTCACAGTATTGAATGTTATGCTCTGTCATGTCCTGTTCTGTTCTCGACGGGCCGGCGTGACGTCGTAACGCCTGTGACGTTAGATGCGTCGTCTGTTACGACGCTCTTCTTAACTCAACTGTTTCTTTTCACGCTGAGTATGTTATGTCATGCTCATCTCTGTCACCATGCTCTGCGAGATAATATGGTATGACGTTCCCTGTGGAATTATGTTATGGCATGATAGGTTATGCCGGGCTGTGTTATAGTATAGTATGTGCCATGATGATGTTGGAAGCTCGGCTCAGTAACGTATAACATTGCACGTTTTGCCAATGTGTCTCGCTAGGCTGTGCCGTCGCTTTCAAAATGTTACTATGATGTGGTATGTTCCGCCAAGGTGCATTATGTTATGCTCGGCTATGTACTGTGATGTTGTGGTGTGTCGTCTTCTCTACTGACAAACCCTGCTCTGATAACTTATGGGATGTTATGTGCGGTGACGGCCTGGCTCTGTACAATATAATATGACATGCTCTGCTAATACGTGTCGGTATGCTTTGCTGCCGTGGTATGATATGTTCCGTGATGCTGAGTCATGATATGATGTATTATGTCAAGGTGTGATACTGTATGCTCGATGATGTTCTGGTGTGCTGTGTTCTGTCACCTTCTGTTCTGACAGGTTCTGCTTTGGTGTGCTATGTAATGTTGTGGTTTACTTCACTCTGTTATGGCATAGCTATGTTCTATCATGGCATGTTCTGTCATGCTCATGTTCTGCTCTGTCATGTTATGCTGTGTCATGCTGTGTTCTGTCGTGCTCGTCGTTGTTATGCCTTGCTGTCGTGGTATGATATGACATGCGATGCAGTGCCACGATATGATATGATATGTCAAGGTGTTATGGTATGTTCGGTTACGTATGTTATGTTATGGTGTATTATGATGTATTATGCTATGTCCTGTTATGATATGGATGTTATGTCATGTGCTGTATGCTCTACTTTGGCATGATATTGCTATGACATGTTCTGCAATCTTCTGTCATGCTCGCGTTATGTTCT